ACGGGGGAGCCCCGCCGGTCATTATCGGCCGATATTCACTCTTAATAGTTTGATCGGTGCTCTCTATAAAGGCCGATCAGGAGAGCTGGATCTGATCAATGTGGACATAAACGCGAGTGAAGTATAACCGGACGCGAGAGAGAGATCAGATCAGCTGCTGAGTCTGATGGAGACACGCTGCTCTGCATGATCACCTGATGCTCCGCCCTCTGTTTAGCGAGCTGACCAGACTACGCAAAATGCGTATATGAAGTAATCTTACCCTCGTGGGGGCGCGCTCATGTGATTGGCTTAGAATGAAGGAGACATCTGATTGGCTATAGATAGAAAAAATTACAAGTACGAATCGGCTGACCGTCAGGGGAGTCTCAAAAAACCCACACACGAATGCAAAGCGATCCGTGCACAAAAAGCTGTTTGTGTTTGCAGGTTCAGGGGATTTAAACGGGAAACTAATAAGTGAGGATCAAAAATACACATGTAAAACTTTTTTCTGTATTTGGATTTTATTTCCATGTATATGAAACGGAATACATTTGTGTGTGCATTGAAAAACACAAGTATGGATCCGGAAATACAAGTTTGAATCCTTCTGTGTGCATGTGTGTATTATGAGACTGTTCTGAGCCCATAATAATCTGACATGCGTACCGTCACTTGTGTCACAAAGCGCATTTGCCAGAAGGCAGTTAGATCACCGGACGACAGAGTCGGTCTCCGTGTGCACAGACAGGGCTGCTATTAACGTCGGTCTGTACAACGGAATTGTGCCAAAACTACGCCAACCGGCTGCGGAGGGAGACTGGAGTTCACTGGAGAACTGCGCTAAAACAGCTGATCACAACGTTCACACTCTGTGGTCGAAGTACTCCACTAGCCCCCCCCGTCGACTTTCCTGAAGTACTCCCCCGTTGATAAAAATCAACACGTAATGAATTAAGACCCACGGTTTGATGATTGATAGGTGCTCTCTTTCATTTTGACACACAGAAAAATGTTACAATAAACATGTTGAATGATATCCGCCTTCTTTCATTTATATTTCCATTCCCACAACAATATACATAAAGAAATGGCATATTTTGGACATAGTTCGAATGGTGATTAATTATGATTAATTCATTTTTAAGCTGATCTGATAGTGCTTTTTACAGTACTACGGCTTCCACAGATGACGTTTTTTATGGATTTTTTGTCAAAGCACTTAAGATATTCATTGCTATCGGGATGTTAAGAGCATTCCATGGAATATAACATGTGTATCTCGAGCCGGTTTCTCAAACGTACCTACCCCACCTTTAAGTAGCCTACTGTTAATATCTATAAAGAAAATGCAGAGGTTTTTAATTTCACTCCTCTTTTAGCTGACATTTAACAAATGCAGGTACATTTTTAGCAGCTATTCATACTAAATCAGTTGTCCCTCCCCCTGGTGCCAGGACCAACAGATCCATCTCTAGACTTAGCAGCCCTGTCCCCCCATAAGTGTTATATTTTCACAGCTCAGTGTCAGTAAATATTGTGCAGTTAGTATTGGACTACAAGATAGATGCAAGCCTGTACAGGTAGTAGGAGTTATTTAAAGCATAAATGAGGCGTGTGGCGCAGTGGATAGAGCCTTGGTGTTGGGATCAGGGGGTCACAGCAGGTTCAAACCGCACTGCAGTCAGCATGTCATTGTGTCCCTGGGCAAGACACTTCACCCCAAAATTGCTCCTGTGGGATTGTCCACAGTATTGAGTATGTTAGTCGCTTTGGATAAAAGTGTCTAACAAGTAACATGTAATGTAAAAAATGAGTGGGTTGGGTTCTGGAGGTGTGGTTTCAGCAATTGTGCTTGGTTGGCGTGGCCTGTGCCTGGTGGTGGGGCCCAATGTGATATATTTTCATGGGGCCCAAAATCCCTGGCGGCGCCCCTGGTTGTGTGAGTGTATGGCCAGAGGGCACGACCTATAAACACATTTACTACCCAATAGCATTGTGAGGCAACAACAAAAGGACCTTTTGACTATGTAAATGTAGTCTTTTAAAAAAACTAAAAAATATTACTGACTTTTTTAGGATAGCTTAAAGTAATGTTGTAAAATTACAACCGGGGGCCTTACAGGGTTATGGGCTATTGTTTATTGTTATTTGCTTTAAGATGTTTATTCTAAACCAATAATGGAATTTAAAAACTCTTATTTAAATGATGTGTGTGTGCCTCTGTATTCCTGATGATACACTGAGAGAATGAGGGCTGCTGATCACCATAAGCTAAACAGTCTGTATATTGCATTACATTTCTATAATGTACGCTTCGTTGATACTTTGCCTGCGGGAATACGAAAAAAATAGTTAGATATACTGAATATTATTTGATCTATTCCACCACTTAATCCCAAATAATGTAGAGGTGTGTTGTAGGTGCCTTAAATAACCCCTTATTTTCTAGTGAGATGTATTTTTATGTTCATATAATAGTGATTTCAATGCCACCCCAAAATGATCACTGGTTCCATCCTGGCCACCCCACTGAAAATGTCCTGGCTCCGCCACTGCTCCTTGGATCCCCTCCTCGACTCCTCCGCTAGCATCTCCAGTGGGCGGGACTAAGACACGAGGATAGGAGTCGAGGAGGGGAATTAGAGAAATGAGAAAGGTCCTATGTCAGGGGCGGTTCTAGGGGGGGGGGGAGGCAGTGCGCCCGTAACAGTGACTTTTGATACCCCTGAAAATGAAAAGTTTATGATTAAACGATTTATTGGCTGATGGAATAGGCGGAACTAACGTTATTAGTCATTCTAGTCAGACCCATTAGAGCGTAAAAACTGTAACTATAAGTATCTGAAATAAATATGTGTACTGAAACAAATACCAATAACTGTATTGCATTGTTTTCCTATGCACAATTACTTCACACTATCTTTGTCTTTTTCGTCCTGCATTTATTGTGCCCCTCTCAGAAAATAACTGGCCCCAGCCTGGCCCCCCCAGTCAAATTGGTCTTGAAGAGCCACTGCACTATGTACAGGAGGTAAACAAAGGATTACAATCGAGGGGTTTCAGGGGGGGTGGCGAGAAAGTCCCGCTGGTGTGAACTTTGGGATTTTAGCCTTTGCAGACTATTTACATGCATGGAACCCTATACACACTACAGGAAAGGGAAATCCATAAAAACATAATAGGGCCTCTTTAATGTTAAGCAGGTATGAACCATGTTCAACCTCAATTCCTGAACTTGTTAGCTAATATGCTAATTAGCACATAAAGTATAGAATCCACTTCAAGACACTGGTAGTTGCGTAATGTGTACCATGCTGCAAATGGATCTGGCCCTTCCTGGACATGGTTAAACCGTACACCCCAGGACGTGCACTCCGCTCTGCATCAGCCAAACGGCTCGCTGCACCCGCACTGCGAGGGGGACCCAAGTTCCCATCAGCAAAAACACGTCTGTTTGCTATCCTGGCTCCAAAATGGTTGAATGAGCTCCCCATTGACATCAGGACAGCCTACACATCTTCCGGCGCAGACTGAAAACTCATCTCGTTGGACTCCACTTCGAGCAATATAATTACTAACAAAGCACTTATATACTAATAAAGGACTGGCTTATTTAAAGCCAGTTGAGTAGCACTTGAAATGTTTTGGCTCTATGAAATCTGATGTACTTATATGATTCCGTTTTCTTCAAGTTTGTATCTTCTTGGTCGAATGCACTTATTGTAAGTCGCTTTGGATAAAAGCGTCAGCTAAATGTAATGTAATGTATAGCTGAGGATAATGGGGGCGCACCATTACTGTTTTTAAATCCTCCCAGAAAATAACCTTACAGTATGTATCAGCTGCAGGAAAAACACTTCTCCGGGAAGACAAAATACTTTTTTCCTCCTCAGTTTTATTGATAAAACATATCCACAAAGAAAATATTTACAAAACAACAGCTGTCAAACAGCAGAAATGAATGCTGCCTTGACATCTGATCAGTTCAGCGGTCAACCTAAAAAAAACTTTAGTTTCACAGCACTCAAAAGTATTGGGAGGTTGGACCATCTATTATACAGGAAGACATTGAGCTCATCATCTGAAAAACAGTGATAAATTAAATGTGTGATTGATTGCTGTTGGGTCAATTCAATGTCATAATCAGCCCAAACTTTAAGTCTTTTACTTAAAGGTGGGGTAGGTAAGTTTCAGAAACCGGCTCGAGATACACTTTTTGTTATATTCCATGGAATGCTCTTAACATCCCGATAGCAATGAATATCTTAAGTACTTTGACAAAAAATCCATAAAAAAAATGTCATCTGTGGAAGCCGTAGTACTGTAAAAAGTACAACCAATCCGTTTAGCCGGCCCGGCTAAACGGATTGGATTGCCGCCCTGTCTGTCAGCCTTCCATCTCGTGCACGCACAAATGTATCTCGTGCCCTCATTGGGCGTGCATTGCAGCAGTACTTCAATGACTCGCCAGCAACAGGCGGCCACTTTCACCAGTCTGCTGACGTCATGTGCGCGTTCATGTGTGTTGGAGGAGGTGCTCTGTAAGGAAGTCTGAAGGAAGGGGCGGATTCTTTTCGGCTGTGTACTTTCAAATTTTAGTGCACTCGAGCCGGTTTCTGAAACTTACCTACCCCACCTTTAATCTACAAAGAACAAATAGAAAAAATAGGGGAGCAAAGTCCTTCATTAAAAAATGAACAAGACCAGAAAAAACTGTATATATCCTGTATACACAAAATAATGTTAATGTCCATCATAGACAAAGAGGAAGTACATGGCGAATGAAAATTAAGGCATAGCTTGAACTTGTCTTGTGGAAAAAAAATCTCTTTTAAAAAGTCAAGGCCCTATCCAATGAACGAAGCAAGCTTTTGCTGGTGTCACCATTTCAACATGGATCAACAAAAGACTTCAGTGATATTCATAAATGGGGAAATATTGACACTTGACATTCAGTTTCCAATGCTACAGCCATAAACCTGCTCTGGTTTACTGAGGTGTTCATAAAAATCGTATGTACTACAATAATTTAATTGACCACCAATAATAGATTGAACACTTTTCTGAAAATTACCAACATGGTAAACATTACAATTAAGTGAATATTTGTGTGTTGTTTTTGACGAGGAACGAGTGCATATGCATGCACTCTCAGCCTTCAGGCAGGCTTAGGTAGCCAGTGACAGACAGTGAACTGAAGTTGGCCTTTTCAAACATTATTGTGATCATGGCATATTATGGGAAGAACAAGATCATAAAAACAGAAATATTTGAAACGTTTAGGACATCAGAATAAGTAGATTTATCAGGAAAAGGACGGGATGGGGGAGGTAAAAGAGTCCATGGGTTCCCAGTGAGAGCTCATCATGGCGTCATAGAGCTCCTCGCTGCGTTGCATAAAATCTTTGTTCCACTGCTCCACGTCACACTCGGGGATGGGCTCTGTAAACACCGACCAAAACGTGTACAGATTCAGTTTTAAGCTCACAGGAGCATGTAAATAATTCAACGTCTTCACACTTCAAATTCTGAATTATTCCAGACACCTCATCAGCTGCAGGGATAAGAACCAGACAACCCTGAAGTTGTACATTTACGAGTTGTATCTGTGAGATATTTACATCGATAAGTATGACACTTAAATAAACTAATTAACCAGTTATTGTAAATATGGAAATATCTGATTAAAGGGGCTCCAAGCATCTTAATAAGCAACACAAGAATGCATCTACTAACACGCCTACAGCATATCCTATAACATAACAATGAAACATAGAAAGAACTTTCCATTGGCGCGTTCACACCGGAGTACTTTTCCCACAATAGTTAATCAGAACTCCGATATATTTGCGTTCACACCAAAAGCCCCCTGAACTAAATTAGTTAATCAGAACCATTTTTACCCCCTTTTCAGTCCCTGCTAGAGAGCAGGGACGTTCGTGGGAGAAAAAGGTTCCTATGTCTGATTGGCTGGGCGGAATGCAAACCACGCCCCGTAAAACTCCCAAAAAGTTTTGTGAAGCCGCCATTTTATTATCCTTGCATTAGCATTAGCCCAGCGCACAAACGCTGAGAGACTAATTTATGGCAATACAAAATAAAACATGGGAGCGGTGGAGATGAGGAGGTGTCGGCGTTTTGGCGATTTACTCGGAAGGCTTCAGTAGAAGGTGCTGGGAGTCCCAGCAGCTTCTACTGAAGCCAGTCCCTAACTCCGGGGACTTCCGGCCGGGGACTTTGGGCGGCAGTATACGCCGTGAAGTTGTTTGCGGCCTGCCAGTAAACCCAAAAGCAGAAGAAGAAGAAGTGACTTCAGCGGCTTCATTTGCCTAATCCACCCCCAGGAACTCATTGCGGTGTGAACGTGATCTGCTTTAGTTCATCAGAACTAAAAGAGTTCTCATGAACTGAGTTCTCATGAACTATTGTGGGAAAAGAACTTGGTGTGAACGCCCCTCATGATATAAAAAGTCTTACCTTCTGAATTATCCTCGTCTATCTCCCCACCCTCCTCGTGGCTCTGCTGGGAAAACATCAAATATTGTGAAATTATTTCTGAAATGTTAGGGCTGCACCGTTGTAATATGAAGCATGTTAATTAAAATAGTTCTTTAATAGCTGTCAATTAATTGTCCTAGCCCTAATGTATTAAGTGTACTTGTATTACATTAATAAAAAATACTGGTTATCATCATGCAAAATCCATATCCAAGTCGTGATATACACAAGACTTGTAACAAACATCTTACCTATTTGTACCAATCTTTGTTTCAGGATGATTTGAGTTATTTTGTGTAAGAAACAAAAAGATGTCTTCCTGGTTAACAAAGTATTTTCTTTGACATACTCTAATTTCGCATCATTAAAGTACTTCCATAAAAGAGGTTAAATGTCAAAGGTCACAATGTCCTTTCCCAAACAAAATAATCTCTATATTAGAATATATTTTCTTTTAGTTTAGCACAGAGTATGTTTTGATTGTTTCTGTCTTTTTACAATAAATGTAATGCTCAAGTTAGCAAGTTTAGCACAAAGAATGGAAATGGGAAGGAAAATAATCGGTAGGGGGGGGGGGGGGGGGAAGAGCACGCTCGTAAACTGTTAGTGCCGGTGTTATGCATGCCCACAGCGTAAAGCAAAAACTCAGGCATTTCAATGATTTGTACGGCAAAGTACAGTTTGGAAACAATATCATTTCCTTTTTGGCGGGGATGCACAACACGGCATAACACCAGAGCCTCGCTGCGGGGAAACGTTGTCGTTGGCGCTGTTCCGAGTTTGTTCTAATCTGTCAAAATGACAGACTGCTTTCAGATTTTTCTGTCATTGTAAAACAAATCCGTCATAGACGGAAAATATTCGGTTCACGCGACCACTGATCCTGAATCATATCTACTCACTGCACAGATACCAAGCATCTCAATCTATTCCTACAAACATGGGTGTGAACGTGTTCTCCTCACCTCTACAGCTCCGGACATGTCTGTAGACGTGGGGGGGAACCCCATGGGAGGTGGTGGCACCATTTGGCCTGGTGGGGGGTATCCATAGGGCCCGTAGTTATAGTTGTAGCCGCTGTTGCAGGCGCTGTACTGGTCATAGCCTCCCCACTGAGGGTAGTAACCCCCCTGACCCCCGCTGCCATAGTAACTGGACTGGGACTGGTTGTAGTTGCTATGTACATTTTGGCCCTGGCCCCCATGGTAGTTGCTCATCTTTTGGCTGCAACATAAGAAATACAACGCAATACATTAATACAAAGGTTCTGTTAATTGATCCATCAACTATTAAACGGATAAGCAGGTTTCAGCAAAAACATGTCTCTCCAAAAAAAATCAAGTCAAACATTTAAAGTTTATTATAATGTATTGTGATGTATAATTGGGTTTGCATATTAAAATAAAAAAACAGTTGGTTTAAAATGTCAATGCAATGATAACAAAAATGTATTTACAAAGGCTCTTTTGCTTCAGCGGTGCAACCCCAAAAGACCTCTATTGGGTTCTATTAAAGCCCATTTTAACCAAAAGCAACATGAAAAAAGAGGGAAAAAACCCCATTATTATTTCCCAAGCAAATCCTTGAAAACGGATAAAATACAAGTCTCAATAAGCCTGACACGCATGAACACACAAAGAGGCATTGTCAATAAACATTATATGATCTTTGGCGTAGCTTGTAGTCTGGATACTTTGCCATGTTTCATCATGTTTCCTGTCCTAGTTCTCACCTCTTTGCCACAGCAATGCTGAGTCTGAGCGGTTTTCCCCCGAGCATCGTACCCTGGCACTCCTCGATCGCCTTCTTCTGCTCGCCCTCATCCCCAAACTTGACGAAGCCGTAGCCTCTGCAGGTGAAACAACCGTTAAACCTCCTCTCCACTCCGACACACGCTCCATACTTGGCATTTAATAGCCACTTATGAAAAACAGAATAGAATGGGTATTATTATGGTAGAACTGAAACTTGTTGTTTTACTTTTAACATGAGGTAGCATCACTTGAATTGTGAGTTGCTCTTGCTTAGCCTATATGGGGAAAACAATAGTTTTAGCAAGACGGCACAAACATTTCTTCAACCTTTGTTCGAAAAAAGATGAAGATGTACTGGTGGTTTTTAAATCACACAGAAACCAGGAAACATTGTTGTATTATTGTATATTCTTACAAATGATGAACAAATCAACCTATTGTCAATCTTAATACTAAACATTTCTGACGCTGTCTGGTCCACCACTATGTGCCGACGTACCTGGAGTATCCATACTGATCAGTAACTACTTTGGCTCCCTTGCAGGAAAGGTACTTCTTGAAAACTTGATGCAGTTGGAAGTCGTCCACCTCGGAGGCCAAATCGCCCACAAACACTGAGAACTCCGGCCTGCGAGAAGTAATAACGTTGAATATATATTCAAACACAGATACACACTGTCAAACATTAAAAGGGGCAGCTGACTTTGGGAATTTAATTTGTGTTACGTTTACCTGAAACCCTGAAAAAAATGAATGAGTGCCTTTCCTATATTTGCAAAATAACTATTTATTAAGAGAAGGCCATGGCGTTAATTTGAAAAGATTTCTGAACCTCTTAAGCATGGAAGAAGCTGCCTCCTCCCTGTTATATTTGGTTCGGCCACATAATATGCAATGGGATACGATAGGGGCATTCCTGGAAACAAACCATCTTGGCCAAAAAAAGAAAAGAAAAAAGAATACAAGTGAAACAAATGGAAAGTTAATTTGGAACCGGAGAAAAAAATATTTATATATTAATAATGAAAGTATAATACTTTTATTTATTTATTAATAATGAAAGTATATCTCCATCCATTCATCCATGATGGATGGAGATATACTTTCATTATTAATAAATAAATAAAAGTATTATTTTTTCTATGTTATAAAAGTAAATCATGTATTAATACAATGCCATGTGCATGCGTATAATTGAATGGACACTGTAACCCCATTACCCTCCATTTACCATCCGTCATCTGGTGTTAAATTGTACATCAATCAAAACACAAAGTTGTCTTTTTGATAATAACAAGCATAAATGAATTGACCTATATCAGATAGAGGATTGAGGCAAAGCTCTATATAGTCGAGACTTTAACACATTCACACAAAGTAACACAGCCTAATGTTAAAAACAAACAAAATTTGTACTGGTAATTCATCTCGACATATCTTCAATGTTTTTTCAAACACATATTTTCTATTAAGAGTTATGTTAGTTTGACTGTGTACACATTTCCTCAATCTCAGGTTATAGGTAATAGGTTTACTGAGGCTTAAATAATAGCTGAATTGTAACAGGCAACCTTTTGTGAATGGTGTGAAAAATTACTTACCCTGCCTCTGGCCGTTTCCCGTAGGTGGCATAGTTTAGCTTAAATTTCCGGGGCTGCAAAGGGGAGAGAGAGAACACACACACTAAGCCAACGTGAAACACCAAAGACTTGTAGTATAGCACTGAAATTGCTGAAAATAGAGATCAGAGTTATTATGGTTGTTGTTATTTGGGTTTACATACCTCCACCACCCAGAGCAGCCTTTAGCCCATTCCTCAGTTAGTTCCTACCAGAGACTCTATTCACCAGCTTCAAACAAAGTACATTCATGTACAAGCAGCCTCTCAGCCACCTTCAGCAGTAGGACAGGGGAGCCCAGTAGCTTGGCCAGCTCACAGGGGCCAACAGCATTTCAATTCAGTAGCAAGCAGCTAAAGCCCACAACTTTACACATGTTGGATCATTTCTGCGCTAGCGGGACATTTGTAAACACTTACAATTAAAACCCACAGGGAAGGAAGAATAGTGGTATTTTCTATTTATTTTTTTAACACAACAAGAAAATTGCAGAATCTGGTCTGTTACGGAGCCAAATTACAGCCTCATAATATGTTGACTTATCAACAGTCAGTAGTAAGAATTAATGTAGTGCAAAAGGAGGACCAAGACTAGTGGAGCTCCACTATCCACAGTCAAATCAACAATAAAATACTGCTTGAAAACATGGACTAATACTGGGAAAAAAATGAAAGGCAGTATTAAATTTGTAATAATATATGAATATTTGTGGAGAAACAATATTGCAGTAGGGATTGAATGAAAGGAATAACGGTAAGTATTTTGAAATTAAACCATGAAACTGACCGGGTTTGATCCAGGAACAAGTTTTCCGTTTAGTCTTTGGACACAGCGGTCGACACTTCCTTCGTCTGCAAGCTCAACAAAGCAGTATCCGGCTGAACCACTGCAAGAGGACAGAGAAAGAGAAACATTTAGTATTAAATAAAAAACATTAAAACCACCTTAAAAAGGCAACCTAACTATTTAGCCTTCAACTAAAGGGTATGCTACAGTATAGGTTAGCCTTGACTAGGGCTGCCCCCAATTAGTCGGCGAAAAAAATATTTGTTGAAACATTTTTCATTTTTAAAAAGCTCCATCCGTATGCTGCATCCCCTCAGACTTCATTCAGAGCTGTGCCTGGTCATTGAGTTAATTTGGTCCAAAGTGTGGATCCTTCTGAGCATGTAAAGGACATGCAGACTACGACGGCAAAAAGTCTCCTCCATATACACACACCATGCTCGACATGTCTGATGAGGAAACCTACCAGCACATCTACTCCTCAAAGCTTGAAAAGAAGGGCAGGTGTATGGCATAATGTGCTCTGTATATCTTACCCTGTTATCCTGTGAGTGATGATCTTTACTCCAAACGGTGATTCTCCCATAGCGCTAAATGCCTGCTTGATGAAGTTCTCATCCATGTATGGGTCCAACTAAAACACAGGAAAGGAAAGTGGAGATTCCTTAGATAGCATTTAAGACAAACGTTTTAAATACGTTTGTCTTAATATTTACATAGTCTTATGTAAATATCTTTATTTTCTAAAGACTGTAAGAACATTTGTATAATATTGTTACAAAACCAGCGGGATATTTACTTAAGCCTGATGATACTACAACAATTGTGAAGTGTGAATTAAATTGTCAAATTAGATTATAATTGAAAAAAATGCGATTCATCACTTATTTTATTATAGCCTTTTTTAATTAAAATTGTCACTAGGGTGTTATTATTAACTTTAATGATCTTTCTCTCTGTGTTCTATTTTGGTATCTCAAAAAGCCTTAGACAGCCAGAACGCACAATCCCTAAACATACAGGGAATGGGGCCATTATCAATGAAAACTTAAACATAATGGTTCTTGCCTCGAGAGACGTCATTTCCATTTCTTGTCACGATTAAATGCATTGGGCGAATTCTGCATTATAGCATTTAAGTAAACTGTTTACGTGAGCTCGTAATAAGTCAATTGTTCGCTAACGTTAACGGCTGTTTCAAGGTGACCAAGACTGGCTTTTTTCATACAATGTTGGTTACTATTGGCGGAAAAAGGTATCGTATCGGTAACAAGGTATATAAATATATATTTTGGTCTAACCTTTTAACAAAAGGGGATACATATTCGGGGCTAAATGAAGGTATCCGAGCTAGCAACCAGCATTCGTAGCTAAGCTAACCACACTGAAAGAAAGCTGTTTATAGATACATACATCACCCATCCACAGGCTGGTCTGTCTGTTAAACATCTTGGAATTTGGACCGGGGGTGAAACTGTAGAGGGGTTCGTTGGAGATAGATGGGGGTGCAAGAAAATGCTAAAGTTTACAACGTTAAGAGTTGTTGATACGTACAAGCTAAACACATTGGTAGTTCCGCTTCCGGCCCCAGGTCATTATTTAGTTTGTATTGGCGGTTGACAACGAGTTCAGAGGTGCATTACCGCCACCAGTGGTGGAAAGTAACAAGTTCATTTAATCAAGTATTGTGCTTTATAAGAACAATAATAATCATTACAAATAAAGCGCTGTATAAATTAAATGTAATTTATACTACAAAGCCAGCGACCTACATCTACTCAACTCTGTGAACAATTTCCACAAGAGCAAATTTGGATGAAGTGTCCAGTCTTGCTCAGAGGTGGGAGTAGTCATACATTTGCAAGTCATGAGCAAGTCTGAAGTCTTGATAAGTCTCAAGCAAGTCTCAAGTCACTGTGGTGAGTCAAGCAAGTCAAGTCATTGCTCAGGTCAAGCAAGTCACAAGTCAAGTCATACGTGTGTGTGTGTGTGCACGCGTGTGTGTGCACGTGTCTGTGCCAACAAGTCCTCCAACTCATACGACCAAATAGGTTGATTGTGCAAGCCCTTATTACGACCAAATAGGTTTGTTCAAGCGCTTAATACGACCTATAAATGAGGTTAAAATGTTAACATAGGTTGAGGAGCATGGCCACGCCTAAAACTCCACCTCGAACCACGGCCACCCCTATTTATATCCGGCAAACTTCTGGCCACTGCTCGTCTCCATCCTTTCAAGGACTGACAGCCAGACCGTGATTCGTCACGGTTCAAACTAGTGATGGCAAAATGAAGCTTTGAATGAAGCGTCGAACCACTTGGAAAAATTGTGTCAGAAATAGGTTCATTTCTCGAAGCTTCAGTTACAGCGACCTCTCCTGGCGAAGTGCAAGGCTGCAGTGGGTTTAACGTATATTTGCCTTGAAAAATATTCGATGCACACACACACTAAGACTGAATATCATGTTCTATTTGCAATTAAAGATTGATAATTGTGTGTATTGGGTTATTGAGAAGAGACTAGAGAGTGCTAGACATGTTTTTGGGCGGAGAGGGCCTTTTATCAGTCATTAAAGTATTAAAGTTGAAAAGCAATGATTAAAAGTTTAACTATTCCGGGCTTTGAACCAGCTGCGCTGAGGACATCGCTGCATCCTGGCCGCCGGCTCTATCCACTGGGCTATCTATTCCTTAGACCATTAAAGTGTTTTTATATTACTCATTTTCTTTTTGTTCACAGCTTCTCCACATTTCGAAGTGTTTCACGAGCAAGAACGACCTATCTTTCTTCCTGGCTTGCTCTATAATGATCCAATTCAAATGCAATGCCAACAACAACTCAACAGCAACAACGCAAACTACGACAACAACCCACACATTGCGCATTGTTTAGAGCGGTTATAAAGTGTTGAAGCGCTCAAATTTGAAACTGTTTCAACCTGTCACCTGTCAGAATCGAGACGAGGCAGTGCATTGAATCGCCTGATTGGACCGCGAACCAGTCAAGTGATTCATTCAGGAAATGAAGCAGTTGCTGCTTCGGACGTCACATGTCACGTGATTTGAAGCAAGCTTCGAAGCACTACTTCTATGGAATAGGAAGTCCAGGGTTGAAGCTCCCTTCGAAGCTTCAGTGTCAAGCTGCCATCACTAGTTCAAACAAGCTAAACGCTACCACGAGAACATTCAACTTACCATGGATCCCGAACTGCTGATCAACTCACCGGAGTCAGACGAAGATCTCTTCGACATCGGCTACCCGCCATCCACGTTTCAGCAGTTGGATCTAATGGCGCGTTTCCACTGCAGCGGGTAGCCCCGTTTAAGCGTCCTTAACCGTCCACAAGCGGCCAGGCCGGTTTTTGGTGGCGTTTCCATATAGCCTAGTACCGGCTAGCGGGTACTTTTTCCCTCTTTCTCCGGCCTCATAAAATCGTGGTTCCCTCAGACCAGGGCCAGGGCTGAACTAGTGACGTCAACACTCTCGACTGCTGATTGGTCAGAGAGAATCGTCACAAGATTGCGCGCGAGTTCATCCCTAGCGTCGCATATATATCTAGAAGCAAGCTTGCAGCATTTTTATACACAGCATTTTGTAAACGGAGGAGCTACAAAAATGGCTACTTCTAAGAAAAGCACACCGTGGTCGACCGAGGAGGTGACGACGTTCCTTCATCTCATTGGGGATGATAAAATCCAGCGGGAGCTCGACGGAACAACTCGAAATGTGAACAAAAACAAAGCCGATCGCCCCGCCTACACTGCGTTGCTAGCCCAGGTCCTAAACTGTAATGGAAATGCGCCACGGCCTGGGCCGGCCAGCGAGGCAGCCCGAGGCCAGAGCGAGGACGCTTAGGGACGCTTAAACGGGGCTACCCCGCTGCAGTGGAAACGCGCCATAAGCCAAGCATCCGAACGGAGCCGCGTGCGCTCGGCAATCAGTGTCCCACACACCAGCCGCCACCGCTCCCACTCAAGCTCCCCCAACGAGACACCTCCAACTCCAGACAGGTCCCAGGCTTCGTCTACTCCGCCAGCGAGGGCAAACAACCGGGGCCACAACAGGCACAGCCAGCTCCAATCTCCCCACCAACGGCAGCCGCCTCATTAGCAGCCCCCGGCCACTCGCAGCGGCGCACTTGACATGCCTCTCGGACGGAGCCACGCTCCGAAACGGAGCCGGTAGGATTTTGCCTACATTTTGCCTAAATCCTACCGGCCCACATTTGTAAGTGTTCCGGTATGGAAGCAAACAAGAGACAGAAGTATTTGAATTTTATTAGACACCGAATTTATAGCATTGAAAACAATTACTTTGAAAATCATGAATCTGAATTTTTTTTGCTCCGAATTTATCTATGTGAAATAAAAATGTAAAAATTCAAGTGAAAAAAATTCGAATGTTCAAATTTATGGAAGCAAACAAGAGACAGAAGTATTTGAATTTTATTAGACACCGAATTTATAGCATTGAAAATAATTACTTTGAAAATCATGTATCTGAATGTTTTTGCTCCGAATTTACCTATGTGAAATAAAAATGTAAAAATTCAAGTGAAAAAAATTCGAATGTTCAAATTCAGATCCCAAAAATTCGACGTCAAAAAATTCGATGTCAAAAAATTCGGTGTATAAAATTCGAGTTGCAGCATCATCCGGGCTACTCAGACAGGATAAGCAATCGAGCCCTAATGCAATCAAACTGACTTGGCCTATCAGAGCACGGCTTTGTCAGTCATGTGATCACAACAACCCGGGAGAAAAATGACGGAGAACAGCGGGGCTCGCCGCTCGGGTAAGTAGTCAGTTTGTGCTCTTTATCTTACAAGCAGTGAGGGCTCGACAGCATTTGTATCTTACATTAGCTAAATGAGTGAAGTAGCCTTGTGCCTTGCTGTTAGCAAGCTCCGTAGTTATCATTAATTGAAGTGAATCACAACGTTACCGTGTCCTTTTGTGTGTGTGGGGGGGGGGGGGGGGTGACGGTTTGCAAAGTAACGTAACGATCACTTCGGTTAGATAAGTCAAGTAGACCATGCTACACTATACGAAATACTCTCTTACAAAAGCCCTGCATTTAAACATGTTAATGTTACTTTAGTAAAAGTATGCTAGTATAATTAGCAACAAGTGTTGTTAGAGTATTTAAAGTAGACACAAGTTATTCTATTATATTATATCATTTGATTTATTGTTATTACCGATGCACGAGTTGACTTAACTGTTGTAGTTGGAGCTCATTTTGAACAATGAGCTAACTAATGATTACTTTCATAATGGTGTAATGTGCCGACTATTTTCTACATTAATAGATGAAGGTCTGGTTTGTTCAAAGTCTCAAAATAGTAGGACCAGAGCCCGAGAGACTCTAGGGCTCTGAGTAGGACATGCTGTCATAATTACCCAGAGTCCGAAGTGACACCTTACAATGTTAAAGCTGTTAGTTAAATGTAGTGACGTAAAAACTAAAGTATTCAAGATAGTGTAGTGGAAAAGAGATAATGTTTTTTTTTTTAAATGTTACCAAAAAAAAATCTCTTGTTTTGGACTGACAGTAATGATTCAAGAAATAGTAAATAAATAAATACACACACATCAATGTGTTGTGGATGGAACACAACAAATGGTGCTCTTACCTGTGATGCCTCCTCCACACATTATAACCAGACTGTATCATTCAAACTATAAGTAACAGTTCTAGCTACTTGACTTCAGACAAACAATTCAAAAGACAAAATCAACACAATGTATTGAAAGACCAATCTTTATTTCTCTCCTTTTGTTTGTGTTATTAAACCCTGTCAATCTAAAAAACTGAGCAACTCAACAGTTAACTTTATATTTCTTATTGTCCAAAGCATCTATTACACTATTTGTTCCCCTCTCATGTTCACAGGATGGATGATTAGAGACTTTGGGGGAAACCTCAGCTTTATGAACGCTCAGCTCTGTTGCTTTGGCCAGAGAGGGCTGAGGGTCTTTCCCTGCGAGGAGTCCTCCTCGCAGGGAAAGACCCTCAGCTCTGTTGCTTTGGCCAGAGAGGGCTGAGGGTCTTTCCCTGCGAGGAGTCCTCCTCGCAGGGAAAGACCCTGCAGACCTGATGGAGGAGGACTTACACCAGCTGCACCTACAGAACTTAGCCCATGCTGGGCATAGCTGTTACCACCTGCACAGGCCTAGCCTGTCAATTAACAGATTAACATTTAGTGTAACTTATGTATATTATTTCGTTTTTTTTTTTTTTTTTTTTTTTAAATGGTGATGGTTCATGCTTGATAACTTTTAGTTCACATTTCAATAAATTGTATTTGCACTCCTTTTGTCCGTTATCCTTACTGAAAATGTTAAATTACACATTCACATCTGACTGAAGATTGGTACCATTTATTTATGACGTTCCAAACTCGGCGGCACAAGTATTGTGAAGCTCAAAGTGCAAATGCATTTGATCAGCTGACTTTTTTTTTGCCAAACTTTATAGGCCTGACAATCACACTGTCTCTGTGCAACGTAAAACACAAAACAACACAAATGAAGTTCCTGTTAGACTACAAAACTAGTCAGTGTGCAGGTCTTTGTGTTACAATACAAGTGTCTCTTAGTGA